ATAATATTGCCTTAAGATTCAGAAAAATAATTCTAAATTGTTTACCAATTGCAATAGTTTTTATTCAGTATGGTTTAAATGTAAGAGTTGTAATCAAGATGGTAGTTGTTTATTGGTTTTATTTATAATCAATTACTTAAAATAGACTGGCATATCAACAATTTTAGCAATTTTATTTTTATAAAATACTTAGCAATTTGGGATGTCATTAATTGTGGACATGTTAACTGCTATTGAAGTGTTTCAGTTAAAAAAAAAAAAAAAAAAAATCAGAGAGATTACGGGAGAGTAATTTTTGTTATGAAAAGAGAAAAAAAAAAGGAGAGGAGAATATCACAGTCAAAACTCAAATGTATATTATTAAAAATCAATGTCCTATATTTATAAGGTTCAACATAAGAGTTACATTAGGAATGAAATTGATCTTCTAGATAAGATAAGACATATTTATGTATCATGATAATACAAAATAATCATCAATAATTATCTCATTATTTTACAACAAATTTGATTTATTCTTATATAATATCTAGTATTTATAGTATATAAAATATCATGTAATAATTCATGAATAATTATTTTTTCCTTGGTTGTATGTGAATTTTTCCCTAAATATGATACAGATAAATTTCGTTACTTAATCTCTCTAATTTTTATTTTTTTTTAACTGAAACACTTCAAGAACAGTTAACATGTCCACCCACAATTAATGACATCCCAAATTGCTAAATATTTTATAAAAATAAAATTGCTAAAATTGTTGATATGCCAGTCTATTTTAAGTAATTGATTATAAATAAAACAACCAATAAACAACTACCATCTTGATTACAACTCCTACATTTAAACCATACTGAATAAAAACTATTGCAATTGGTAAACAATTTAGAATTATTTTTCTGAATCTTAAGGCAATATTATTCATATTTTATTTTGTTTCAAAACTTTGTGCAATAATATTAATAAGTTTTTTTTGGCTATTCACGTTAGTAAGTTTCAACTTCTTAATTTGACCACATAAGTGTACATGAAAATTGTGAAAAATCAGCATGTATGTGACATATTTACAAGCATTTGAACTTCTAGATCCAGTCGAACTTATCATTGCTATTTGTGTTATGCATATCATTGTTTGTTATAGTATCGTGCTTTTAATATTTCAGATTACAAGAGAAACTCCACCTCACAAGGAAAAATAAATTCTGCTGCTATCGTACCAAATATGCATTTTCATTTAATATTGGCATTGCATCAAAACTAATGAACAATCTGTCTCTGTTCTCCCCCTTTATTGACATAATATTCCATGTCATATATTTTTTTAATCAAAATTTACAGAACTTCAAAAATGTAACCAATTCAAATACCAAAGAATACATAATTAAATGAATGCAAATAAACATATTCTCCAATCAACTGTAAGCACGTAAAAAAGCCAAGGTTAAGCACATAATTTTCTTCAAATGTTGTATTAATTTTCAAAAATTAGGCACAAGTATCAAGTGTATCACAAGTCCTATGATTTCAAAAAATAAATTCAATTTGAAACATCCGAATCACTCTAGTTAATGACAGTATTTCTTTAGTGAGAAGTACTCATTCCACGTATATAACAGTTACCTCGTCTGAAGGGAAAAATGACCGCATGTCTTCTTGACCTCTGATTTTTAACCAACAATCCTTCTGGTATGCTGAAAATACAATATGAACAGCTTGCCAGTGCATTATCCATGTTCTTAATTTCAGTGCACGTCTGAGAATTCTTCAATGAGGATGGCAGCACACAAAGCTTTCCAGATGGGTACTAACATTGTAATAGGAGGATGTAATTCCTGGAAACAAAGCCAAGCAGTATAATATGAAGGTACGGTACATGCGAAATTATGAAAACTATAGATTATCTTTTTTTTTTTTTTAGATTTAATTAATTAGGCATAAAATAACCTATCCAATGTTTATATTTTGAATTTATATGCTTTATTTTGCCCAAAAGTTCAAACTTGGAACATCCTTACCTTGAAAACTAGTAAGAGTTCTTCTTCTTCACGTATAATAAGAGACAAACTCCAGTAACAAGTAACTGGGGTCACGCATTCATTTAAGACAGGTTTCAAGATCTTGCTTATAGGAACAAAGCAGCGAACTGTTCTCCCACTGATTTGTAAAAGGCATTAAAAAATACTCTGATTAGCGTTGTAGGAAATAGAACCCAACTTAGTCATGCTATCTATAGTTGAACAAATAGAACGTGGATAACAATTACAGGGGAGGAAAAAGAAAGACAAATAATTTAAATTTCCTTCTGGATCATTAAAAAAAAAAAAAAAAATCACCTGGCGGGAGGAAATAATGGATACTTTGTAAAAATTCTCTCTAAGAACAATAGACCTTATTTTTCTAATCACAGATTACAATAGCAAAGAACTTAAGGTCAATGGTGGATACTCAAATCCAAGTGACAACCAAATAGCACGTAACAGTGTGAATTGGTCTTTACAAAGACCAAAAAACACTATCTTATAATATACTCTTACTGACAACATAATACACTGAAGAGCTCACGCAACCCCATCCACACCCAAAATAAAATGGCAACATGGAAAAAAATAAAGCTCAAATGATTTCAAATAATTATTACAAGCATCGCTGGAAAAGAATAAAAGAATGATGATGTTATACAAATTACAAGGTACCTTCTGTAAGTAGTTTCAAGCTGAACTCCAAAGGCAGGCAAAATCGTAACCGACTCTGTTACACAGAAACATGTAACACAATATTGAGAAATTAGATGCCACTGCCTTTCCCACTCTTTCCTGAGAGAGAGTACTTTGTGAATAGCACATAAGATTGCGTTACACAAACAAAATTGTACTCAGTGCACTTATAAAGAACATAATGATAAAAATATCGCATAACAATTAAGATTCAAACACTTGGATAGCGGGCAACGAGACAAATAACTCTACTTTGATAAGGGCCAATCATCCGACAGTTTTTTTTTTTTTAATATAGGAAATCAAATATTTTATTAATCAAAGATAATACACAAGAAGTGTATTATCAATTTAAACGAAAAAGAAACAATATAAAATTGGACAATCCATCTACACGAGCAGTAGCCACAGCATTAAACCAAGTATATAATGTCAAACAAAACAATTCTCTAATCTACTCTGTTGTTCGTGTGTGATCATTAAAACAGCGACTGTTTCTCTCTCTCCATACACAAGTCATACGATGCAACCCAGAATAGGGTCTCAAACACCGACTATCTCTCTTTCTCCACACACACGCCATACGATGCAACTCAAAATAGGGTCCCAAACAAGTTTACTATCCTTATTACAAAATGTTCTCCTCCATGCCTTTAACACATCTTCCATACGTCGCGGCAACAACCAATCCATGTGTTGAGAAGTTAGAATAGTGTTTCACAACAAACGGACATCGTCACAATGAAGGAACAAGCAGTCAATCGTCTCTCAATTCCTCCTACACATATAACACCAATTTGTATTATAAAACCCCTAATTCGAAGGTTATCCACCGTTAACACGTCCCCTTACAATAATCCTATAGTCCCTAAGTTACAAAAGATATCTTTTGTCTCTGATGTTCAAATTTAACAAGATAGCCCCTCAAGTTGTAATCTGAAGTCATACCGGTCCAATTTGTAAGTCCTAACTTGCAGTTAATCTTCTTGTGGCAAAGAAACCACTGAAAATCCTATAAACTAACATGTTTTTTAACTTTTGATTTTGATTTTTCAGTTGAGTAAATTAAATTATCAGTCAATTACAAATTGGAACAACTTGCTACCAAGTTGAAACAAAATGGGTCACTGTGTAGAAATAGGAATATCAGGAACAAAATTAGAACATCGCGAAAGCTAATTACCTATAGATGTGATTTACTTGTATAGTTCCAAAGTTCTAATAATCTGAAAAGTGAAAAGTACTAATAATCTGAGGTTGATACATTATCCAAACGTGCATATTAAAAAAACTCCATCGGTGGCTACTGCAGATTCCAGGCTATATCAGCAATCCATTCCCACAATTAATTTATATGACCAGTTATGCCAAAAAAAAAAAAAAAAAATCTATGTAAATTCGAATATTTCCTGGACAAAATCCTACAATTCCTAGATCCTCACCTTTCTCAACTTGTTTCCCTTGCCATGATTTCACAAGGCACACCGCTAAAGAAAAGCTAAAAAGAATGGCCATTGACAGGTCCTGCAATCATGATAGGCACCTGTCATGTTTTGACAAAATAATTACAAAATAGTGAAGATGAAGTGCAGTTTTGACATCCCCCATAAAAAGTTCAAAGGAAAAATGTATAAATCCTCAGAATTTATCTTGGGCAGTTGGCGGTTATATAACAAAAGAAACATCCAGAAAACATATGCATATTCATTTAAGTGTTAGTGGTTGAGACAAACTTCAATTTTCCGTTTTTCCTTTCTTGTTCCTTGTTTTAGTTTCTTGTATTTAAGTATCTTTAATTATGCAAACTAATTATGAAGAAGCAAATGTTATTGAATCATTAAAATACAGGAATTTATTCGTAGAAGACAACAGGGGATATTTTTCAATAGATAAAGAAGCCAATAAATCTTTATAACAGTGTAACACAAAATCTCGAAGCACAAGTAACTACTATTGATATATGAGCACAGGAATTTGTATAAACATACCTGTGGGAGAAGGAGAAAGCAGAAAGTGGCTGAAAGCAGAATAAATATGTAGAAAATGTAACCCAGCGCACTGCTTCTTGAAATGATGATATGGTGAATGTCAATTGCATCAGGTGGACCCTTGTTTGTATCATTTATATACATGTATCGTCCTTCCGAAATGGTGGCTAATGACTCCACCATCTTAGACTACATCAAAATCGAACTGGGAAAGGACTTGTAATGAGTTTTATCTCCAGTTACCTCTCTTCATTAATCAATTATAGACCATTCCCAATATATAAATTGCAACATCTTCAGGGAGGATTGAAAGTCGAAACAATCCAGAATATTTCTCAACTAATATAAATGCTGATAAAAATTTGGCCAAACTTGATGAATTTCATCATTAAATTTTGTATTTGTTGTATTCACCATTGAAATTAAAAGAATAAAGTTTATATTAGAAGATTGAAATTACTGTGCAGTTGATTTACTAGGGAGTGTGGTATATTAGTTATATTCAAATATGATAATAAGTTAATATTAGCAAATAAACTTTGAATGGTAAACATCAAAAGTGTTGAGTTGGTCAAGCAAATATGACATAACATGTTATAATTAATTATTACTCCTTCCATCCCAATTATATAGGCTGACTTTCCTTATTTTCTTATCCCAATTTTATAATTCTTTTTCTCTATGGAGAATATTTTGTTTTATTCGTTTACTAATATACCTTTGTTTAATTTGCCTAGTTATAACTAATTTTCCCCACTCAATCATGAAATTGTACAAATATAAATAAGGGTAGACTAGAAAGTTTTTGACAAAAATTGCTTTTCCTATAACATTAAATAAAATTTCTTAATTCATGTGAAAACAAAACCCGTTTATATAAATGGAACGGAGTATATATTAAAATGAATACTAAATCAGTTTGATGACGAATTTTGTTTTTCCAGATTCATCTTTCAAAGATATGCATATTTAGGTTTTTCAATTTACATGTTAAGCTCTATCTAAAGTAATGACAACTTACCTTTTAACAAGAAACGACTTTGGATAAGATAATGGGAATCAGAAGTTATTTTATCTTCCTCTTGAACTTTTGCAAAATCTGGTACAGCAAGTAAAATCCTTAATACTATTGCAGATTCTAATTCTAACATTTGGATCACCAATTCACAAGCCAGTGATCATAGGGCCAAAGAATTCAATTTTCACTTATACCATACGTACCCTCTCTGGAAACAAAAAATAAAAATAAAACGGTGTAATTTTTTTATGGAAGCAGTACTCCTGTCTAGTGCCGAGGAAATGTACCTCACTTTCACATTACAATAGGACAAGTGGCAAAAATGTCATGTAATCTTCCTCAAAATAACTTAAGCAACTTTTTTCCCTAAATTGTTTTGCTTTTCATAACCTCACTTCAAGAAAGATGATTGGCAGCAATTAGAAGAGATATATCCTTTGCTACATAGATAATGAGGAAGGAAGAAACCCCCAGGATTACCAAATAAAGGGAACTACAGAGAAAGAAGCCATATAATAGTAGAGGCTAGCACATTAAATATTAGGGCATCCAAATTTATTCTACTTACAATGTTATATCCTAAATTTTGGGCCGAGTGGAAGTAACGGGAGCACTGGAATTTGTCGGTGTTCTGCTGCAGAGGAAATCAGCCTGGTAACTGTAGATGTATATACTTGAGAAGAAGTATATGCATTGCACCTGAAGTTGAAATAGGCTCACGAGTTGGAGTTGCCACTGTGGAAATGGACTATGAAGCAGGTTAAGATGGCGTGGTGCGGGGTGAAGATCTCGCAAATGACCGTGTTGTAGGTGTAGCAGACCTTAAAGTGTAGAGGTGGCAGACTGTGGCGATTGTGACTCGAAGTTTGGTACTGAACTGAGTTGGGCGATCTGGGTAGACGAGGAGGATGGTGGCGGCAGGCGAATTTCTGGACTTGTCGTGGTGACAGGTGGTTGGGTGGGGTGGTTATGCAAGGCTATGAAGCAACGGCGTGTGGTGGCTAATGGTGTTAAGAGGTGCCGGGCGACGGGAATTGGTGGTGGTGAGCAGCGGAGTTGGCGACGGGGAACGGTTGGTGTGGGTCTGCTGGATAAGTGGTGTTTGCGGTGCAATCATGGTGGATACGGCAAGAAACTGGTAGGAGGCGGCACTGTTTGAGGCTGGTGGTATGGGCGAGGCAGGTGGCAGAAATAGTGTGTGAGTAATTGCGGTGGTTGTGGCTGTAGACGGGTTGAGAATGGGAAGAGACGTCTGCGCCACAGGAAGTGGCCGGTGAGGGTCAATCTAGGGTTGGAAAAGGCTGGTGTAGGTTGATCGGAGGCAGGTTGATGGCAAGTGAATGCAGCGGCAGATCGGCTCTGGTCATAGTGGCTGCCGACGAGAGGAGCGGCCATTAGATCAGGGTTTTGGAGACGTAAGTTGGGTGTCTAGGATTGGACCGGGTATTTGGTTCGGGCCTTGAGCAGAGTCAGTTAGTGGGACTGTTGGGCGGGTTTGAGTTGTGAGCACTGGATTACAGTTTGTGGTAGGATTGAAATGGGCTGTAAGGATATATTTTGAGAAAAATTCATATATAAGAGATTGAGGAACAATACACAACTACTGCACTATAATAAGCACATTTCATAAATAACAATTTTACAAAATAATTTCATAAATCAGGTGATAAATGATAATTTAAATTAATAAATTTAATGATATATAATATATACAACCGTGCACCCTCACTATCACATATTTCCACCTCCCAACCCATATTTTTTGCCACAATAGTCTTTACCCAAAAAATAGACACTCTATCTCCACATCACCACTTATCACCCACTACCCATCGTCAACGAATCGCTCTCCATTTCTAACTATAGAGTGACTATCCTCCCATCACTATGCGTCCTCCATCTCAAATGCCACTGTCACCAACACTATCAAACCCACTTTCATCCCTCCTCCCTGTCAAATCCCGAAGTAAAGTCAAGCACTGTCATTGGGGCTGAAAATTTCCAACATAAAATCTCACTAAAGGAAATTATAGTGACAGAATCTTTAAGCAATACACTAGCAAGAATGGTGTCTATTCGTAGACAAAACTCATTACCAAAAAACACAAAAATTATTACCAAGGAGTTGAGGAAATTTCTACTGCTGCTTATGATTCTGCCAGAGTTTTTTTTTCCTTTTTTTTTTTTTTTAGTAAATGGCATCAAAAAATGTTTGTTGTAAGAAGACGTTTTTATAGAGAATATATGGTTGAGGTGAGGATGGGGTGTGGTTAATCTAATCTGTCGAAGTTCATTCAAGTAAATGGCATCAAAAACTGTTTGTTGGAAGAATATATTTTATAAGGGAAAGGGTTTGCAGTGGGGGTGGGGTGGGATGGGATGGGATGGGGTAATCCAATGTAAATGTTTAGAAAGTGGGATTGTGGTTGTAGTGGGATGATCTTCATTGCCAAGCACATAATGATGCATTTACTCATTTCAACATTCGCTGTCTCTCTTTGTACTACGTGGTGACAATAGTGATGCATTGTTTGTGTTCAAACATGTGTTATATGTGATTAACTGCGATCAATTTATTTTCAGTGTGACTATTTGTGATTGAGTTAGTCTAAATCGTGATTGTATGCAGTTCACTGTTAATTTAGCCACATATGATCACAATTAACATAGATTTGATCACAATCAATCACAATTAACATAAACTTGGTCGCAAAGGATCACCATGAACAAATTCGCACACACCGCAGATTAGCACCGTAATGCACCACTATCACCTCCAATACACCACCGCCTACCACCTTCAACTCAATCCTATGACCATAAATATTACCTTCACCTTAAATCCACGACAACAATCATCACCGCCATCATCACTTCCACCAACAATCAACATAAAGATCCCCAATTTCTTTAATTGGAATTCTTCTGAGGATGTGCTCGACAAATTTAAAATTTAGCACGATGGATAACTATTAGGCCAATTATGTAGTCAGAGAAACTACATATCACTATTAACACAGACAAACCTGGTAACAACTGATAACAATTAATAAAGACTTAGTCATGGAATGTCATAGTTAAACATATAAATGGTCACCACCACCGGCATCACTACTGATGCCACCACTCTACCACCACCATTGCATCATCACCAACATTGCACAACTATTATAAACGATGTTTTACCCACTTATAAACTTTGAAGGCTTAACAAAACATAAACAAAATTGGTCTGGTGAAAATAAATATGGTAAAGGGACGAAAGAGATTTACATAACATTTATCAACGCAATATTGTCATATGGCTTCGGATTATGGATGGCCACCTGGTCATGAGAGACAAAAGGCACAACTGACAAAGAACTCAACAGTGATTGGTTGGTTTTGGAAAAGACTACTTTTACAATGGTTCTTTACAATGGTGGCTTACAATGTGAGCTGGAAAGGGAGAAAAACCCAAAATAAATAAATAAATAAATTAAAAAAATTAAACGAAAAAGCAACAAAGACAGGACCACAATAATTGACTTTGCTACATCAACTTAAAAAAGGGCGGCAAAATGGAAAAGCTCTCTTCATACACCCCGTTGAGAAGGACGACCACGACTAACATTGCGCGAAAAAGCTCTCCTCTCCTAACAAATCTATACGACTTCGTCGAAAACTAACCTTCCTAGCGACAGCATCCAGCTTTACTTCGGCATTTACAAAACATTGTATCTACAAAACCACCCAAAATTTTTGGTCGACATTACACTACATCGTCAGAGACTCACCTTCCAGCGACAGCATACCCATCCAACTTGAGCCCACCTTTTATAGATGCATGCCATCATTTTCCCCAACAATACAACCAATTTAGCAGAAGAAGGCAACGATTGCGATTGCGATTGACGTTTGGAGACCAGCGTAAGGCACAATAATTAACAGAAGAATTGAACATTGTTTGAAGACTACCATTTCATCTACCCAACACTGTATCTCTCATTCAACAACCATTGGTAATAAGAAAAAATCTAGAGTATGTGAACATATGTGTCATTAACTTGGATATTATTATTTGCTAATGTTAAATCACTTGCAGTAATCCTGAATCCCTCATTTTATCTATGTTAAATCCCTTGCAGTAATGTTAAACCTTCATTTTATCAATGTTAAATCCCGAATGCATTAATTTGTAACCAAATGATAACTTATCATCCACGAACGTTAAAAAATAAGAAAAATGAAATATCGATTATTATTAAATTTTTTGATGCAAAAATGAAGGTATACTTACAACTTTGAGTAGACTTAACCCTTCATAATCTATTGTTATTTAAAACTCTAAGATTATTGCTTTTTGAATGGGACATTTCATTTTGACCCAGTCTGTGAAATTATGGAAGCAATGGAAGATGTCACAAGATCGGAATTGGAAAATGCGAATGTGGAAGACAATTATTGTGAAGATATTTATCATGAAATTCGATATTATCAATTGCTAATGTTAAATCTCTTGCATTCCCGATGAAAACCGTAGCTAATGTTGGCACGAAGAAGGGAAAAAAAACGAGTATGTGAAGATATTTGTCATGAAATTCGATATTATATCCCTTGCATTCTCAATGAATACCGTAGATAATGTTGGCATGAAGAAGATAAAAAAGCATACTTGCTAATGTTGAATCCTGACCAAATTAATTTGTAGCCAAGGGTTTTCATACTATTCACCATGGTACCTTAAAGTTGGAAAAATGGAAAATTATTTATTATTACATTTTTTGATGCAATAATGAAAGTGTACATTTTTTTCATAATTTGCATTTTTGGAACAACTTTGGGGTTATTGGTTTTTGAATGGAAAATTTAATTTTGACGCAGGCTGTGAAATTATAGAAGCAGTGGAAGATGATGTCAGAGTAGAATTGGAGCATGTGAATGTGGAAGACAATATGAGTGTATGTGTGGATGAAACGAGAGGAGGAGATGGTGTGATTGTGCCTGAGGTTGGTATGAAGTTCAAGGACGAAAATGAAGTTTACGATTTCTATGGGAGATATGCATTTGAGGATGGTTTCCGAGTCAGGAAAAGGAATTCGAAGAAAGATGACAATGGAGTTTTGCAATATGTGACGTTGACATGTAGTTGTGAAGGACGACGAAACAGTTCTACGAGCGGCTCTTTGAAGCCACAACCAACAATGCAGACAGATTGTAAAGCCAGGATCTCTGCAACTTTTGATTATCATGGTTTATGGGTAATTAGAACAGTACACCTTGACCACAACCATAAGACAGGTCCTTCGAAATCAAGGTTGTATAGATGCAACCGAGAAATAAGTGCACATGTGAAAAGGAAGATTGAAGTGAATGACCTGGCAGGGATTCCGTTGCACAAAAAGTTTCAACTCTGCAGTTGTTGAAGCGGGAGGTTATGAGAATCTTACTTGTGTGGAAAAGGACTATAGGAACTATATTGAAAAAGTGAGGCGGTTAAAACATGGGGAGGGAGATGCCGTAGCAATACAATCTTACTTTTCAGAAATGCAAGCAGGGTGCTCAGGATTTTACTTCAGTATTGATCTGGACGAAGATTCAAGGTTGAAAAATATTTTTTGGGCAGACAATCGGTGTCGTCAAGCATATAAGGAGTTCGGGGACGTTGTCACGTTTGATATAACGCACCTCACTAATAAATACGACATGCCGTTTGCCCCATTAGTTGGCATAAATTACCATGGACAATCAACACTTTTTGGTTGTGGTTTGTTATCAAATGAGAACACAGATACTTTTGTTTAGCTATTTAGGTCATGGCTTAAGTGCATGCAGGGTCAAGCGCTAAAAGGAATAATAACTGATCAAGACAGGGCCATGCAAAATGCAATACAAATAGTTTTCCCTCATATGAAGCACAGATGATATTTATGTCACATTCTAAAGAAATTGCCAAAGAAGTTTGATTACCATGTGGACAAGGGATCGATATTTTCGGCTATACACGTATTAGTGTATGATTCGCAGAATGTTGAAGAATTCAAGGCCGGTTGGAAAATAATGATAGATAAATATGAGTTGCAAGATAGTGAATGGTTGTCAGGTCTTTAGAAAAATTTAGGTCAATGGGTTCCTTGCTTTCTAAAAACATCGTTTTGGGCCGAAATGTCAACAACACAACGATCTGAGAGTATGAATGGCTTTCTTGATGGATATGTGCACTTGAAAATATCGCTGAAGTAATTTGTGGAATAGTATGAACATGCACTCCGAAACAAGGTGGAAAAGGAGTTCCAAACTGATTTCAAGAAATTTTTGCAAATGGTTCAGTGTGCAACGACGTATGAAATTTAGCAGCAATTTCAGGCAGTATACACAATTTCAAAATTCAGGGAAGTGCAAGCAGAGTTCATAGGAAAGGTATATTATGACATCATATCTACCGCGGATGTTTGTCCGAGGATGACCTACGAGGTATGCGACAATGTACTATGCGGGGATCGATAAAAAAGAAAAAGATTCGTAGTGTTATTTAATAGGGAGAACTATGACATTGTCTGCACTTGTCACTTGTTTGAGTTTCAGGGAATTATTTGCAGGCATGCAATCGTGGTACTTATCTGTAATGACGTTCGTGTACTCCCAGACAGGTATGTACTTCGAAGATGGAGGAGGGATGTTAGTAGAGCACATACCAGGGTTGCTGTTAACTATAGTGGGTTGGTCAGCACTCCTGGACAGTTGCGTTACGATAGAATGTGTCAGGCTTTCGCTACCATTGCAAATCTAGCTGCAGAAGATGAAGGTCAGACCTATGCGATAATGGAATGGATAGGAGTTCAAGAGAAGGAACTTATGAGTTCGAGATCAGTCAGCGGAAGCAATGTTCTACTCCAACGTACTACTCAAGTGTCATCGAACAACATAAGTTGGCAAAAAATGTAAATTGCACAGTATTGGACCCTAACACAGTGAACAAGAATGGTGCACCTAAAAGATTTCGGAGAAAGGGCTCATTAGAGTTGACGTCAAAGAAGCCAACGGTAAGTTCACGTGTTACCTTCTCAAGTGAAACGGATTCCTAACATTATATCTCATTTTTTGGACTGTACATGTAGGCTCCATCGAAAGGCAAAAGACCAACTGCAAGGCGTACTTGTCCACTAGATGGTGCATTGTCCATTCAGGCTCATCAACAATAAGAATCGTCGATGCCCATTCGTTCTCCTACTCGCAGCTCTTGTTGGTTAGTAACTTTAATTTATCCCGTTCGTATGTTTGTTGTGTCATTTGTGCTTTCTTATTTTGATGTAGGGTTACCATGAAAGCTAAATGTTTCCACAACAATTACCAATTTCTACACTGATCCATCCATCGTCGACCCATCCAACATTCAATTCTCAAGGTACGCATTTATATTAAACCACGTTCCTTTTTTTATCCATAATTTGTGTGCATAGATTAATGTCGTATTTCATGCACATCCTTACTACTATCCAGAAGAAAGGCATCAAGGTGGCAATGAGTTTTGATCCAGTTTAATGCATTTACCAGTTGAATATAATCCCTAGAGAAGTGAAGAGTCAGGAGAAAATTCCTCCAATTACATAATTCATTATCGATGAAAGACAATGATTTTCAACTTCAGATCTTCAACATAATAGGTAGGTACAATCACTGAACACTGATTAGTGACCCCAATAGTGACTACTCTCTGCAGCCACTCATTTGCTTTAAAAGTAGCTAATAAATGACCACTTGCGGAAGTTTGGTAGTATGCTAGAGTGTATATATATTGTATTCTCATTTTGTTGATTTAGCTAATTTTTCGTTGCTTGTGCAGCAATGAAGCTACTTCCTTCAGGAAGAATCGCAGTCTCGCAAAGGAGCTCACTATAGGGACTGTGGCATCTGTCTTCTTGTAGCAATGGCAAACATTTTTTTCAATTGGCAGGGTTTTGGATCCTTGTTCTTGCTACTTTCTTCCAGTATCTATGTTTGATTAGTTTTTGTATTAAATGGGACGAGATTTTGTTGAGCAAATTAAAGGTTGAACCCCAACCTTAAGGGTCCCCCACTGCCCCTGCCCTGGAGCATCGTGAGCGAGGTAAATCGCAGGTTATGCCTCCAAGAGTACAGAGTGGAAGACTGCTTGTACACTTGCACTTACCCAAGAGCCAAAAAATTATTATTTCAGACTTCGAGCCCTTGGCACGGCAGCAGCCTCAAGCAAAACTGGATTTCTCCACCCTCCCCTTTTACCACTTGGAGATGTGCCCTGGGGGCGATTTTGTTGAGCAAATTAATTTACATGACGTGTTGCTTATTTGAAATTGTGGGTCTGAGCTATAGCTTGGTTTCAAATTCGATGGTAACGTCTATAAGTGCAATTTATTCCCCTTATTCTCATTTTTTTCCTGATATTTTTTAATTGGTTTCCTAGAGGAATAGCTTTGGTTATTTGCACAAACTTGTGACTTCTTGAACTTGGATTTTGCTTCTGAATTATATTTTTCCTCCCATCTATCTTTAGTTATGTTTTAATGAAATCTAAATATGAAACAAGACGTTCTACAATTATAATAATTTGAATTTTTGGAACATTATCATAATAATCAACCACATAATTGGACATTTCATAATAGTCAGTTTTTCTTGTTTGGTTTAGCCGCAGCCTATATTAGTCTACTGAAGCTATTATTTGATGACATTGTTTCTCATATAGTGATCACCCACCATCCAAACAAGTGACCGAAGACCTTGAAAAAGGCCACTGTATAAAGTTTTGTAATGTCGAGCATGGGCATCTTTTCATTTACCAAAGTGGAACTTTTTGTCCTTCCATGACCTTCTCGGGACCGGCCATATGCAGGTGTTCTCAGTAGTTTGGTTCAGATTGAAAATCATAAGAAAGACAGAGACGTTATCATCTTATTAGGGATGTCAATTGGGCCGAACTGGCTCGACTCGTGAAAAAGAGGCTCGTGGGCGGCTCGGGCTCGTGAAATCACGAGCCCGAGCACGAGCTGAGCGGGCCTCGTCGGGAGGCGAGCCGTTCGTGGGCTCGTTGAACAAGCCACGAGCCTGGCTCGTGGCTCGTCGTTAGCACAAATTTAAAGTGACCAAAACAGTCATTGAAATTATTATTTTTTAATTTTTTTCCCCCCTTCTACTATAAATACCCCTTTCCTCCTTTATTTTTTTCCATATGAATTGCTACTCCAAGTCTCCAACTCTCTCAACTCTCTTTTATTATATCAATTATCAAGTTTTTATTCTCTTGTGCTGTAAAATATACAATATCAATTCAATTTTTACAGTTTATTAGTTACAATTTCAATTCATCCAATTCTCATTTCTCACAATCTCACTATAT